AAATTAATATAATATAATATATAAAAAATTAATATAAAATTACTGTATATTAATTTTAATATAATTTTATTAAATACCTATTAGATTGTCATTATCACTGTCCAAAACAAACCAAAGAATGTTGACCAACATTGGACTTCGTTTTGGTGGAATGGTTTTTAATAATGCATTAAATCTTTTATAATCCAAAGCACATTTGTTTGCAATTTTTATCTTTAATATATCAAATGCTCTTGATAAACTCTGTCTTTTCATATAGACAACTTTTTTAACTTCATTCTGAAAAATTAAATAAATTTCTCATAAATTAATACATTTTTAAAATATTTGTGAGAAATATGTTATCATAGTGTAATTATTAAATATATTTCAAGCTCAGTTGTAAAGATTAGTTTCAATAACAGAGAAAATAATTATAACTATTATAACTGTGAGATCCGAGATTTATTAGGCTAAATTATTGTAAGAAATATATTAATTATCTAAATTATTATTCACAAGGGAGGAAGTGACATTCATCATTTTGGAAGAAAAAGGAAATCAACTTCCTTTCTCACATGGCCTTATCTATAATTTGTATGCCCATATGTCTGCCCATATGCCCTCTGCACTTGTTACATATCCTGTGCATTCCTCAGATGCTATTGGGTAGAGGTCCCATTAAAAAAAATTTTTCCCACCACTTGAGGAAGTTCAACAGAATCCTAACATGCCATAGGAAGGCAGTCTTCATTAGTTTTGAAGGTGCCATAGAAGGCAGTCCATGGAAATCCTATATTGCCACATAGAAGGCAGTCCTCTACAACTCAGAGATGCCATAGAAAAGACTCCTCACCATAAGTATTTTAACTCTGTGAGCTAACATGGAGAAGTAGTAGTTGTTGTTCCACATCCACCTCCATTACTCATCCACTAAAGAAGAAGACTACATAGTTGAGGTAGTATATGTTTGAAAATTGTGAGCTCTCTCTCTCTCTCTCAAGTAATTGTTCATACAAGGTGTAAGAATATAGTGTTAGAAATTAGATTGTTAAGTTTGATATGATACTTTTGCCATCTTACATTGTTTGTAGAATCCTGTATATAATTATTTACTTTAATCTAATAAATAATGTTTGTATATTCTATATCTGGATTCCATTCGTTTATTAACTTCAAAATATTTATCGCCAAATAGCTCTCCTATAGATTTTGTATACGCGTGATAGGTCATGAAACTTTTGCCATCTTTTATTATTTGTAAAATCTTGTATATAATTAATTGCTTTACTCTAATAAATAATGTTTGTATATTCTATATCTGGATTCCATTCGTTTATTAACTGCAAAATATTTATCGTCGAATAGCTCTCCTATAGATTTTGTATACGCGTGATAGGTCATGAAACTCATCCCTATATGGTGTCAGGAAACACAACTTGCAGAGGTTTCCTGCTTCTGCACTTCGATCTACTTTTTAGGAAGCCATCCTACAATCTTTTGGACATATCTTACTGATCTAAAGCCGAGTAAGCAGCATGGATTTAACAGACTCAATACTTTCGGTTATCCTCATATTAACAAAGATTATTAGTAATTACAAATTTTTTTTTATAAAACTCAATTTTACCCTCAGAATTAATGTTTTGCCATTTTATATTTAAAAATATAAACATATTTATAACAAAACATAACAGTTGGCGCCCCAAACAATTTATTTATAATGTTTAATAGTAGAAAATTTATTTTTAAGTGAATTCTCGAAACGACCAGGAAAGTTATGCAACTTTNTTGTTTTAAATAATTATAATCATCATATGACTAAGGGATTAACCAACTTTCAGTAAAAATATACAAGTTATAAAAGTCATTTAGAATTGTAGGTAGGTACAGACATTTGTTTTTAATAGATCTTATATTTTGTAAAAAGATTTTAAGGCTATTGATGGGAGGTGTCATTTAAATGCTAATTAAATTAAAATTTTACAATATTACAAATATGAACAGTTGATATTACAAAAATTGAATATGATCAAATATAAATATGTTTAAAATATTAAATTTTAAATAAATAAAACAGAATTACAAAATTATGTGGTAGCTTGGAGCTTGGATGGTGCAAGAATAATAATAATAGTAAAGTAAAATATAAAATAGTTACCTGGAAATAAATAAAAATAACAATTAACTTCATGTCGTTTTAAAATACTTTGAAATAATTCACAAAAAACAAATAATTCTTAATGAAAAAAGTGGAGAGTTTTTTAAAAAATCAAATTGTCCAAAGGGAATGTAGCATTCATAATGTCTGGTCAATTTAATAAATTAGTCAATATTTATCAGGCTGCATGGCCATTTTAGTCATTATTCATAATGGTGAGCATTATAAATAATGCCCTAATCACTTGGTCTATAACATATATATACAATATATTTATATTTTTGTTACATAACTTTGGATTCAAATTTTAAAATAAAATGGTTTATTTAAAATGTGTACATTTGTAAATTTAGTTGACAAATCTTAATCATTTATTTAGAGTTATAAGCTTTTAATCTGACTTTTATTATTTATTTTGTTTTGTTGCAGAGTTAATCCTGAAAAATAAATTGTCATTATCAAATCTTAAGTCAGCAAGTTTTGTTATAGAATATTACAGTATTACCAGAATCTAATGAATATAACATTTATCAAACTGTGATTCTCAGACTCTTTGGAGTCTGAAAAATTCTCCAGAAATACATTTGAGATGTTACATGACTGAAGTTTCCAAGTATTCACATCACGTGACCAATTGTCATCAAAGTCATGTCATATGGCAATTTTGTATGCATCCTCCAACCACCACGCTGCTCCATGACAAAAACGAGCTTAAGCAATGGTGGCCCAAATAGTGCAGAGTCAGTAAGCAGTTCTATTGGTTTTTGTTTATAGTGTTTTTTATATGGGTTCCCACCAAATAATCCTATGTGTTTTGGAAATGTCTATCAAATATGTGCCTTTTAAAAAACAAATTAAAAAGAAAACGCCTAATGGTATAAAACAATATAATTACCAAGTGTTTAATCTTGTATGTTTTAGATTTATATGAATGATGTCAAACCAAATTTCAAACAATCAGAATATAAATTTCTCAATAATCATTACTGATTTATTCATTTACGGAGCCCAAAAGACAATTTTTATATATAACCAAACAATTTTTCTTGCATGTTTCCTCCATCTGATAAACATATTAACATGAAGATTATCAAAATTATAGATCTGTAGATCTACATGAATATTTATATATTTTAGATATTTGTTTATTAAAATTAGCAGTAAATCAAAAAATTCATGCAAAACTTCTTTCATGTTTTTATAATCTATAAACACATAAATAAAATAAATTCATAGCATATAATTTATCATTCATTTACTTAACAATGCATGTTTCAATATGTTATGCCACATAAAATTAATGATACTATAAATAATTATATTTATGTAATTTTATGTAAAATTTTACCTTTAAATGTTTCCTATAATTATTATATATGACTGCCAGAAAGATATTCATAAATATGTATAAACATATGACTAAATATGCAAGGAAGAAAAATGCAGAAAAATGATTTTCATCATAAGCTGGCATCCTGAAAATAAAAATTTAAAAATCAATTGGGCATAGCTACAAAATTTTTGTAATGTGTTAATTCTTTAATTCACATTTACTTATAATTCATTTATTTAAAAAGAATATAAATACATATTCATTTAAACTGAGTAAATAATGTTAAAATAAATACATAAAATCAGTGATACACTGATATAGGGTGTCCCACTTATGGCACTTATAGGATGGTCTGATTGAGATGATAAAACATTAGTGATGTAAATTTTTAGGGGATATTTAATGGGGAAAGTGTATGAGATCAATCCCAGAACTATACATAAACTGAAGGAAAACTTTTGCAGAAGTACTGAAGCTATTGATATTAGTATTTTCAGGTAGGTCAGTCTGAACATGATTGTGTGTATACAAAGGTGCATAGATACACAAGGACACCATTTCAGCATCTTCTGTAAACTTCTGTAATTTGAATAATGTTCAAATAACATTATTTGTAATGAGTCATTTGCCTAAAAATTTTTTAAAATTTGTAATGAGTCATTTGCCTAAATTCATTTGTATCATTTCCAATTAGTAGGCCAATTTTATGTGGGACCCTGTAGAATAAGTTATATTTAATTTTTTTTTCAAATTATTATTCTTAACTTAAAATTTACTTACATTATATCTGGATTATTAGCAGTTGTTACGAGTACATATAGATCAAAAAACGTATCTAGATAATTCGTAAAATATGGACTTCCATCAGGAAATGTCAAATTTCTATCAAAAAGAAATAAAAAGAAATTATTATTATTATTGATAACAATGTTAAATTAATTCTAATTAATGCTAAAGAAATACTATAATTATCAGCAACTTAATGTAAAGATTATTAATTAATATACATATAATAGTGTATCAAAAATATATATTTCAGAGTTATCTTATAAACATAAATTTTTAATATTTTACAAAATAAAAAAAATATTTTATTTATTTTTAGTCAAAACATTAGGAATTAAAATGTATTCAAATTTGGTTATTTAATTGTTATCAATAATTAATCTTTAAAATGGCTCTATTAATTCAGATGCTTTGTTATCTATGCTCAAAAGCCTACAGCCTAGGGCTCAGAATTTAAAACTAAATGATTGCTGGATTTCATCAGTCTATATTAATGCTATTATTAATAATTAAATGTTAAGTAATTTGGCCTAGAAGTAGGCATTAGGCATCATCTCTTGATTAATTATAATTATTAAACTTAATTAATATCAATGTTTTAATAAATACTTTAGAAGGTTCTGGAAGAAAAGAATCATACTGAAGCGGGGCTTGAACCTGCAACTTCCACTTATTGTGCAGTTGCATTGCCAGTTATGTTACCTGATTCCTTTCTTCCAAAACCTACTAAAGCAGTGATGCACTCAGGATTTAATCATGGCAGGAGCTGAGTTGAACAGATTAAAAAATTTTTAATGCAAATTAAATAAAATTCCCACTTTATGTGATCACTAATTCATAAGTAGTATAGAAAAACAAGACACAATACAATATGTAAAAAAATGATTTTTAATTAAGAAAAGATTTTTGGAAAATTTTCTAGTGCTTTTTTCCTTTCTGTTTGGAGGATGCCCTTGGATCACCCCCTCAGGGTGTGCCATTGTTCTAAAATAATTATTAAAATATTAATTTAATTATAATTACAAAATTTATCAAGAGATAGTGTCTAATGTCTACCCTCTACACCAAATTACTTAACAAACATAAACATCCATAAACATGATTATTAGATTAAAGTCAAATTATTGCTATATCAGGGTGCCTATATATTGGAGCATGTCCCTTTTTGGGTTGCACTTTTCCTAATCCCCAAGGGAGCCCCAAATTTCATCATCAACAAACAACAGAAAACTCGTGACTTCTAGATGGCCTATTCTGTAAATGTAAAATCTAGTAAATGATATTTGTCCATTTCCCAAATAACTATTTTTATGTAGTTATTTGTTTATCATATGTTGACCAAATCCAAATTCCTTATTTTCAAGGCCAAGTTAGCCCAAGTGTAACCAGTGCCACCTTGTGGGAGTGCTGATCCAACACTGAATCATAGTTTGAAGCTTTTGTGTAATATACAATGCCCAACAAACCTTTAAAATGCAGCTTATTTTGCTAAAATACCAAACATTTTTGGTCAGCTTCACTGACCTTCAGGCTCAAACAAAAAAGTTTATTTCAAACTGAAAACTTTTTTGCCAGACAAATTCTAGAATGCATTTTTTTAAAAAACAAACTATCATAAATTCAAATGTGCAAGCCTAGTTTGCTCTTTTAAACTTGCAAAGCCACTACTTTCCATGCTGATGCTTGTTTATAGGATTCCCAAAAATTTATAGATTGCCCTTTTTCATTGTACTTATTAATATGCCATGCTTCTGTATACTTTAAATGACGTTTGCTTGCAACTTTTTGTATAAGTTCGATTTTATCCCAATTAACTGAAATATCCATTGGTTCTGAGATCACATAATTTGCTAACGCCGTGACTGGTTGCTCATATCTAATATTCCTTTTGTGCTCTTTCAACCTTTCAGTAAGCGACTGTTTTGTGGCCCCTATATAGTACAGTTCCTTTTGGCACCTTTTATCGTGCAATGGTATTCTGTAAACCCCTGGAACCAATTTTTTGTCTAAGGGTGCTTTGTCATTTCTTAACATCTGAAATATTGTAGGGTTCTTCTTATAGGCTATTTTCTTATTACTTGCTACTCCTATTTTCTTGTATATGCTGGTTAACGGTGCCCTGTATTCCATTATGGTGAACTCCTTCTCTTTTTCTTCTCCTTGCATTCAATGTCTCTCTTTTGTGCTTTCTATATTAAATTTTTTATTTTACTTTGTTTTATTTCTACCTCTCGTTAGCTTTGCAATGTATTCAACTTCTTTTCTTGTGTCTTGAATCTTGCTACAGTGCGTGTATGCCCTTTTAAACAGTGCTCTAAATGCTGCTAGTTTGTAGTTTACCAGGTCATGGGAGCCCCATGGTATCAGCTCCGGAACATACATCAGCTTTCGATATACAGTAATACCCTGACTTACACAAACCCGGAGTCACGCGATTTTCAAATCTCATCAATTCGTCTTTTGTTTGAGCGCCATGCAACCCTTGATTACTCACTCCCCCCACACTATTGTTCAGCTTATATGTTCAGATGTGTCGCGCGGAATCCACACATAGCTACGATTTATTTTGTGTTATTTATTTCTGTGTTTGTTATATCTACGGAGACTTGAGAGACTCTACTATGTCATCCAAACGAAGTAGAACTAATTCTTCTGCATCAAACAAGAAAAGAAAAACTTTATCTTTGGAATGTAAAGTTAACATTGGGTATGTTCGTAAAGTCGAACAAGTTAAACGAGAATGACGTCATCGTTATTCCTATTTCGTTAGACTTTTCGAACGATTCGTTACTAACGCGTTTAACTCGTTTGACTTTACGAACGTACCCATTATTAAAGACTTCGATACAAAAATGAAAATTTGTGAATTGGCAAAGAAGTTTGATCTACCGGAATTGTCGGTCAGAACAATTATAAAAGGCAAAAAAAAAAAAATTCTCGAAGCTGTGAAAAATGCTCAATCTTTAAATTCAAGCATCATTCGTAAACGTCACAGTATTATTGCTGAGATGGAAACAATGTTAAAATTATGGCGTAATAATCAAGTAAATGTGAAAAATTGTAAAATAATATAGGCCTAATTTGTTATACATATGTATTATCTAAGATTTTATTAAACATTTTTTTCTAAATTATTGTTTTCTTTAGTCTCCGGCCCCAATTAAAAATTATTTGTATGTATTTATATGCGAAATTACACCCAGACTTATGCGGTTACCGCTCGGTCCCACCTATCGCGTAAGTTTGGGGTATTACTGTACCTTAGTAGTGATTTGCCCTTCTTATATTTCTACCTCCATGTCCAAGAAATGTATCCTTTTTTTGGCCTTGCTGCTCCAGCTCTAGTTCCAGGCCATATTTTTTGCTGTTTATATCCCTTATAAATTTTATTATGTCTGGCTTATCCTATAATAAACACATCGTTGGCATATCTTGTATACAATAGCATACTCCCTTCATATTTCTGCAATACGTTATTTTCTAGAGACCTTAATACCATCTCACATAATGCAGTTGGAGATATACAATGCCCTATTTTCCATAGCCTGTGCCCCCTTTTCTATAGTTTACAGGCACTGCTGTGCCAGATTATATCAGGCTATATTAATGCTACTATTATAGTTCTGAAAGCAAGCAAACCTACAAAAGAAAGGTTCAATCTGTATTGTAGGTGGTGTATACAAGGTCTGTTATGAGTGTGAACTGTTGAAATTCTGAATGTAAGAAAGATGGAAGAAATTAAGCTTTTATAATAAAGAAGTGGTTCAAAATATTTGATTCTTTTGTGAAAATCAGGTAAACCAAGTTTATATTTGATTACTTTGGGAAATGATGTATATGGTAGGTTGCTTGATTTATTGAAAAGTATTAGAGTTTTGGATATTTGGCAATAATTCTATTGAGTTGAGTTTCACAAGTAGATGCCCATACGGATATACAGTAGTCTATTATAGATTGAAAATTAGCAAAATATAATGATCAAAGTGCTGATGAGATAAAATAGATCTGCAGTGTCTCCACATAATTCCTCTACATATAGATAAACTTTTTAACCACTCAGACAAATTAATAAAATATTAATTTTTATCAAAAATGATTCCTAAATTGTTAATGGTGTAAGTAATGATAATTCTGTATTATCCAGTAATAAGCATAATATTTGATATAAAAAAACATTAATTTATCTGTAAATAAATAATACCTTGATGTTCTAATGATAGATTTTTTTTATATAATGTATAATGCAATATGAAAACATTTCAAATATTTCTTGTTAAAATTTATAATCAGCAAAGCATCAGAAATTAAATTTAAGAAATGATATTATTGAAAATTATCATTAACCTTTCACCACACACACACAAACAAAACCTATTTTTACATGATCAGGTGCTTGTCAAATTTTACAATATATTCCTATTTTCAAATTTTATTATTGTTTCAAAATAAACCTTCAATTAAGATGTATTATAACATCATAAATAAAGTGTTTTTATTCAGAAAATAATCAGTGCTTCATGTTAACATTATTTGAAAAAGTACACTAATAAAAGTTAATTACAATTTACTCATTAATATTATGTTGTTGACGACATTCTGAATACAAAATCTCTGTTACTGAATGTTGCTTACATATAAACAATTTACATTGTAATACAATGCAGCAGTGGCGTGCCATGACATTTGATGATAGAGAAGCTGTGTTTCTGTAAGAAGCCGACTTCCAGGAGCAATCAGTTAATTGCACATCAGTGATGGTCTAGGGCAGGGGTGGCCAACAGTTTTTGCCCCGGGCCGAATTGGAAAGAAGACATTTTTCACGGGCTGAACCAGAGGCTGCCCTAGGAAGATTTTGAGGTGGTGCAAGATGTCATTGTGGTGTCATCCTGTAGAGACTAAATTGTAGATAGAGATTACAGATACATTTTTCACATTATCATGCTTTATCAACATACTGTGCTGTACTTACGAGATTTGTAATGGAGGGTTACCTCTAAGCACACAGTGAGTTGTTGACCTTTTTTATTTTTAAGGCGTCAGAATTTTTCATCGAGCTATTCAGACTTGAGTAGCTAATATTGAAAGATTGATCACGG